AAGCAATTAATCCAGGCTGCACAGAAACACAAGGCTGCTCAGCCCACATGGCCCACGGGAACCCTCCCCCCCTCACTCCTTACCTGGCAAACTTGTCTGCCAAGTTGCTATTTTTCCTTTTTCCGACCATCATCTGTTCTGCTGTGCTGGGAGATTTAGATTAGCTAGGAAGCAGGAAATGGTTGGATTTCTTGTTTTCTAGCTAAGCACATCTGAATCTCCCTTAGGACTGAAGGTTTGCTTGCAAGCAAATTCAGTGCAGACTCACGGCAAGCCAATTTGAGAGACTGAGCTAGCCGATGGCAGATAGATAGATCACTGAATGATTCTGTGAGCAACTCAATCTGCCTGCCTGCTTTGCCTGATTTTGGGTAAAAGTTGCTCTTTTTTATATTAAAAAAAATCAATATTTATACAAATATTTGTAATATTTACATACAAGCCATGCCCAGCCAGTCACATGACCACCAAGACACACCCACAAATTAGTCTATGCCCACAGAACCAGTTAGTGGTCCCTGGAATCTAAAATTATGAGTTTGGTAGTCCCTGAAGTCCAAAAGGTTGGAGAGCCCTGGAATAGACAATGGTAACAGGTCAGTCAATGGGCACTGTTTGGTGACCTAGACAGCTCAGAGTCTGGGCGTGGCTTAGCTTGACTGATTTGTATATAAGAGTTGCTTTGTCCTTGCTATATAGCCTTTGTATTATATAGCTTCTGTGATTCTGTGCATATGTGATTCTTTGCTTATGGATTCTGAGTTCTGTTGCATAGGTATTGTATACATGCATCATGCTTTATATTGTTGTATATAAAGTTTATTTTATAAATGCATCCTGCTGAATTCTTTACTTGTGTGCTAGTTGGATTGCTGAAAACTCTTAACAATTTTTTAATATTCTATTTTTTAATAATGCTTTTATATTTTTATAATGATTTTTATATATTGTTTTATTCAATTGTATACTGCTTTTTGTGAGATGGCTGGCCATATAAATTTGAATAATTAAATAAATACAAAAGCTATATAATGGCAAAATTCCCTGTGATAAGGCTTATTTTATATTTAAACAGGAGTCCACCAGTCTAGTTTTAATATTTGGCATAATAACTAGTTTAATATTTGGCCTAATAAACACATATACAGTAGTCCTTAAATTAAAACTACAACTGGGACTGGGAACAGTGTCGCTAAGTGATGTGGTAAAATGTGATGTCATAGGAGCACATCACGTAGTGTAGTGGCAATCCAGGCAGTCCTGATTGCCTAATCCCAGATGTGGGGGCCATTAACAAAAAAGCAGAGGGGGGTTCCAAGGCAAGAAGTATAGGGGTGATGCAAAAGGTTCGGGGAGGGCCAACTTAAGCCATGTATGAGAGGGAGGGGGTGCTCCATGGTGCAAGCTTTAAAAGGCTGGGGGATTTGGGTGCAGGGTGCATGCGATTGCAGGGGGGCTATGGTGTGCAAAAGCAGGGAGGCCAAGGAAAAGAGGTTTAGGGAGAGTTGTCTCCCTGTGGGTAAGAGATCATGGGAAGGGCATGGGAGGTTTGTGAGTGTGTAAGTGCAGGGAGGCTGTGGAAAGAGAGTGCAGGAACTCTCTCTGTGTATGCCTCTGTCTTTGTGTGTGTGTGTGTGTGAGAGAGAGAAAGAGAGAGATCACAGGAGACCATGGGAAAAGGGCATGGGGTACATATGTGTGTATGAGCACAGGGAGGCTATGGAAAGGGAATGTGGGGTGTATTGTATTGCAATCACCGGCAAGCCAAGGGAAGAGAGCATATATAATGCAAGCTAGTTGCCACGCACCTGAATCTGACATTGCAGGCATTACAACACTTGTAACATCCCTTCGTTCAGAGATATGAATGACTGAACAGTTGCTGCATGAATGATTGTAATTCAAGGACTACCTGCAAGACTCCTATTAAAAAATTAGTTTTCAGAAATCTGACATTCTGAAGTCTGACTCATCAATACTTCCTGGGTGTGTGGAATTCCTGCAGAGTGACTTACTTGAATTCTTTCCTGTCTAAATGCAATTACTTATAGATTTTACTGTGTATTGAAATTTGATGTTCTTGTGGAAATGTACTGAAAGTAGCATGATACCTGAGGTTGTGAGACACAAAACAAGTCATTAAGCTATATCTGCCCTGGACTCTTCTTTTAACCAGTTTTGTTATAGACTTTACATTAGCAGTAAATTATGAAGGTTCCCCCCCCCCCCTCAAAATAAATAAATAAATAATAAACCAAAACCAGGAAAACAGCATTTTTGCTATATGCTATATACAGTGTGTTGAATATCCCACTGGAAGTTGGGAAAATTTATATGGGGAAAAGGAAGAGGAAGAGGTGGTAGTAACACAAAATATATTGTCAGTCTTCTAATTTCCTAAACATTTAGTGCAATCTTGCTGAAGAATGAGTGTCTGTGCTTCTTGAATGTGTTCATTGATTTATATTCATCAAGCTTGTCTTATTTTTGGCCTATTATCTTACATTAAGTCATCATACACTGTAGCCATCTGTATTCAGTTTCTAGCTGAGATTATGTTCTCCCAATAAGCTTATTTCATGAAGAATAATATCTGTAAATAATGTACAGTATCAGCATAATATTGTGCAGTATCTTTGAATAATGAATTTTATTTCTTTGTTCTTGTGAATTATAATGTCATATTTAATAATTAATTCAAAATTTCCAGAAGATTTATCTGTATTATTTATGGACTTAGTTATTTGTTCTCAGATGGAATTATTGAAACTAAAATTAGAAAATGTTACCTGCCTGATGATGATACGTCTAATATAGTCTAATACAGGTAATCCTTGATTTATGACCACGATCGAGCCCAACATTTCTGTTGTTGAGACATTTATTGAGTTAGTTGTTAAGTGAATCACTGCAGTTGATAAGTTAGTAGCCTGGTTAAGTGAATCTGGCTTTCCCATTGATTTTGCTTGTCAGAAAGTCGCAAGAAGTGATCACATGATCCTAGGACAAAGTAAAATTAATAAATATGAACCAGTTGTCAAGCATCTGAATTTTGATCACATGATCATGGGGATGCTGCAAAAGTCATAATTGAAAAAAGGTCATAATTCACATTTTTCAGTGCCGTTGTAACTTTGAAAGGTCAGTAAATGAACTGTTGTAAATTGAAGACTACCCTATTAAAAAAGAAACTGTAAAAGTGGCTAATAGTAAAGCCAGAATTCACTGGAGATAGAATAGCTTCAAAAAATGGTCAGTTCAAGATTATCATGCTTTTTTCCAAAGAGGAGAGGAAAGAAAACTGAGAGAAGTAGGAATAAAGAGGGATTAAAGGCTCCAAGGGCACATTACTCTCACAGAAATCCAGGTTGCTCTTAGGAAAAAATGGAATAGTGTTTATTTATATGCTTACTGCTAAATGTAAGGCTCTTATCATTAGTTATCTCTTGATTTTTTTTTTCTATTTGGGCTGCTAAGCAGCATTCATGTCCCTGCTGTTCCTGGCTTAGGCTAAGTGGGTTAACACAGAGCTACGTTGGAGTTTTGGAGCAAAACATCAGGCATTTTAGCAGCACTTGGCACATTCTGGAATCTGACTACTTTTGAAGAACAATAAGAGAGGAGGGTTAGAATTGCTAAAGAACTGGCTTAGTTGGACTGACTTTATTTTGAATTTATTGTACGATATGTAAAAGAATAAGAACCTTGTCTGCCAAGTATAATTAAAGTGAGAAACAGCCAAGTACCGTATTTTTTGGTGTATAAGACGCACCCCCCCCAAAAAGTGGGTGAAAACATCTGTGTGTTTTATACAGCGAGTGTTGCTGAAGCCCCACCTACCTGCCAGCCTCTGCCTCTCAGCAATTTGCCTCTTTGCAGCAAACAGCCTGGTCCGCTTCATAGCCTGATTTAGCTCAAGCAGCTGATTGTTGGTTGGATCAGCCTCCCGATGATCAGCTGTTTCAGGCTGCAGAGATCACCATCACCTATTGCCGCCTACACGTGCCCCATTTTCGACCTCCACGTGCCCCATTTTCCTATCCCCACCGCCTGGAATGGGCCGAAAATGGGGCATGTGGAGGCTGAAAATGGGGCACACGGAAGCCGGAAACGGGATGCGCAGGCCAAAAATGGGGCCCGCGTAGGCAGCAATAGGCGATGGCGATCTCTGCAGCCTGAAACAGCTGATTGTCAGGAGGCTGATCCAACCAAAATCAACTGCTTGTGCTAATCAGGCTGTGCTGAAGCTGACCAGGCTGTTTCCTGCAAGGAGGCAAATTGCTGGGAGGCAGAGGCAGTTTTTTTTTTCTTGTTTTCCTCTCCAAAAGCTAGATGTATCTAATACTTCGGAGCATCTTATAGTCCAAAAAACTCTTCTTTTCATTTTTTTTTTTTGTTAGTTAAATAACTGGGCCCCAGTTGATTTCTATAGAAAAAGGAGAATGTTAATGCTCCATACAAGAAATTAACTGGGCTTCAAAACAATTTGCACCTACTCCTCAGGATATGCTGAAATCTTTATATTTTTCATTTCTTAAGATGAGAGAGAGATTTTTCTTTTTCTTTTTTCTTAATTATTTCTTTATAAATTTAATAAAGTTATAAAATATAACATTATTTCTTGAATATTTTGGCTCATTGTAAAATACTGCATATATTTTTCTTTACTGATATATATACACATATACATAAATACATACACATATATGTATATTAGATACTTCTGTATCTGGTTTAGTCATTAATGTGACTGCTTCTCAAAGGCATGAAACAGCATTTTATTTAGTATGATTTTGGCAATTCTCATTTACCAGTGTGGAAAGTTCAAAGCAGAGTTTGATTTGCAGTGCTTACAAAGATTTTGCTAAGTGGATCTTAAAATGTTTTCTCTTTTTAATGAGATGGTCTGTTTTCTTGCTAATTCCAAAGCCTAGGGCATATCTCTCTTGTTATCGCTACTGAATTTTTATTATTGTTATTGTTATTATTATATCTTTCAGCAAAGGAAATCATATTTGGAACGGAGTGTAAAAGAAGCTGAAGATAATATCCGGGAGATGCTCACGGCTAGAAGAGCACAATAAGTTTCTTGTGTTTGGACTGAATATTTGAAAGCAGAGATTTTGAACCCCTCTTGTTAAACATGCAAAGATGTGTAAGATATGAAGAACCTGGTTTATGTAACTAGCTGCATCATGTCAGCCCAACCTTGTAGTTTGATGCACTAATAAACTATTTAATTTATATATACCATGACTGCTAAATCTGCCCTGAATTTCTTTCTTGAGACTAGACTACACTTTATTCTATTGAAAATAGAATAGATAGAGTGGAACTCTAGATTGGTGTTTTGTTTTTCTGCAAAAAGACATGCAAACACCAGTGAATTTGGATTGTTCTGTTGGAAAAAGATTATGAGACTTCAGCGCACATTAGAGACAGGTAAAGCAGTAAGGTTCTTGCTTTCATTTTGCTGCTTTCAGGGACTGGAAAGCTTGTAAAAATTGGTGAAAGAATATAGGAAGATGGAAAGAATTAGGAAAATCCTCTGAGCAGATACTGTTTTCTAAGATGGGTAGATTTTGAGATGACAATGGTTGGAGCATGAATGGATTTTAAAATACAAGCCGTTTTGAATGGTCAGAAAGGTTCAAAGCTGGCATAGAATGGGTAAAAGTGGTTTTTCAGTAAGGAAATATTTGTGTAAGGTTGCTGCCATCTTGTGGATGAGAGATGTATCGCTCATGTCCGTGTCTAGATTCATAGAGCATGCTAAATCAGAGATAGGTGATCTGTAATGTTCCAGCTGTTCCTGAATTATATAATTGCTGGCATTCCTGATCATAATATAATCCCATTGTCCTGGGAGTTGCATGCTTTGGCAATAGCTGGAGTCCCATAGCTTACCATGATGTGTGAGCCTAGTCATTTCATATTTTCTCTAAATCAGAGTGGTGTTTTGGGGTTTTTCATTTTCTGTTTTTAATGCAGGAATTGTAAAATAGAATGAGAATAAAATCTCTCAGTAATAGTTAGCATCAGAATGAAGACACACACAAAAAAGCTCAGGAATTCTTCAAGAAACTACATTCAAGAAAAAAGATCAGAAGATACAACTATACAGTATTTGGAAAAAGCCACATTATCTAAAATACCAGACACAATGAGAGTAATGCTGAATGAAAGGATAACGGCAATAGAAATAATGGAAGCAATTAAAAGGCAAAAAACCCCAATAAAACACCTGGACTAGATGGACTTCCCGCAGAACTCTATAAAATCTTACAAGATATACTAGGACCAATAGTGTTGGAGGTTTACAACGAAGCACTATTAAAGGCCAAATTCCCCCAAAACTGGTCAGAAGCATACATCACATTAATTCCAAGGGAAGACTCAGACTCTCAACAAAAAAAAAATAGAATTATAAATTATAATCTACATTACTAAATGTAGATTTTAAAATATTTACCTCTACAATTGCGGAAAGACTAAAAAGTTTTTTAAATCAATTCATATATCCTGACCAGAATGGCTTCTTACCCAAAAGACAACTGAAAAACAACATGAGGATCATTATGAACATATTGGAATATTATGAAATCCACTCCGAAAAACAGTCAGCATTAATTTTTCTAGATGCACAAAAAGCCTTTGATAATATGGATTGGTAGATTATGACATTACAACTGAAAAATATGAACTTAAAGTTTGTAAAGATGATTCAAGCAATCTATTCCAACCAAACAGTGAAAGTGATAATAAATTGAGAAATAACCAACAATTTTAATATAAATAAAGGTTCAAGACAAAGGTCCCCACTAAACCCCCTTTTATTTATATTAACTCTGGAAGTTTTATTTACTGACCAGACAAGACCCAGAAATAAAAGGTTTGAAAATAAAAAAAGAACAATACAAAGTACAAGCATTTGCAAATGATCTAGTTTTTATCTGGGAAGAACCTTTAGAAACAGGACCCAAATTAATAATAATAAAAAAAGTTTGGTGCAGTGGCAGGACTTAAAATAAACAAGGAAAAGACTAAAATATTGACAATTTTTTTTAGAAATAAACAGAAAAATGAATTGACAGGAAACATGGGCATGCAGATAACTAAAAAGGTTAAATTCCTGGGAATTTTGTAACAGCAAGATGCATATCCATCAAAAAGACAATTATACTAAACTAATACAGCAAATAAAGATAGATCTGGATAAGTGGAAAAACCTACAGTTGTCACTGGTTGGAAGGATATCCACAATAAAAATGAACATTCTACTGAAATTGTTATATTTATTTCAAACAACTCCGATAGAATTAGGGAAAAAGTTTGAGGATCTAAATAGACTGATTTCTAAGTTCATCGGCAGGGCAAAAAAACCAAGAATTAAAATAAAAATGCTACAAGACACTAAAGGGTGGGTTCAGGCTCCCGGATTGGGAGCTGTATTATCAGGCTTCAATACTCACATGGGTGAAAGAGTGGATAAATTTTAAAAAACAAAAGAATATTGACAATAGACATGATTTACAATTGGGGTGGCACACATTCATATGATATGGGAAAAATAAACCACAGATATTTCCAAAGACACTATATTAGAAACACTCTGGTGTCAGTATGGGAAAAAAATCCAACAGAACCATGACATGAAAATACCGGTCTGGTTATCCATGACAAACGTTAATATACCCTAATGTTTTGATCCAGATAAGATACAAAGACATATTAATGAACAGGGGCGGGTGTGTGGGTGTGTGAAATCTAAACAGGAATTTAAAAAATGGAATTGATCTGAACTGGTGGCCATTTACCCAAATTCAAACGAGATACAAGAAAGATTTAGAAATATATGGATTCTAAAAGGAACCCCAAGAACTGAATAAAATACTGTTAGGAACAGATGAAAAATTAATAAAGAAAATGTATTGAATTTTTAAATGGAAGAAGAACATGTAAAAGAAACGATTGTTTGGGCAAAGAATTTTGGATACACATAGAATTAGATAATTGGCAAAAATTGTGGGAGAGAAACTATAAATTAACATTGTCAATAGTGTACAAAGGAAACATACAAAATGTTTTATAGATGGCTATAGTACTAACATTTCATGTGATCTTGATACTATCCCTCTTTATATAGCCTAGGATTGAATTGGCTTTTTACGCAACTGCAGCATACTTTAGTGGTTGTCTGCTAGGACATCTAAATCTGTCTCACAGACTGTTGAGCCAGTTATCACCTATTCTACACCCATGCATTTGATTTTTCAGGCTGCAGCCTTGAGCCTCCAGAAATACCAGAAGTGCTAAAACGGGCCCGTTTTTTGGCCTCCAAAGACTGCAGAGGCTTCCCTCGAGCCCCTGGGAGGGCGAAAATGACCTCCACTGAGCTCCAGAGGCCCTTTGAAGCAGTGGTGGGATTCAAAAAAATTTACTGCTGGTTCTGTGGTTGTGGCTTGGTGGGCGTGGCAGGGAAAGAATACTGTAAAATCTCCAGTCAGAAGTGGTACTTGCCGGTTCTCCAAACTACTCAAAATTTTTGCTACCGGTTCTCCAGAACTGGTCAAAACCTGCTGAATACCACCTCTGCTTTGGAGGCTGAAAATGGCCACTTTCAGTATTTCTGGAAGGCCTGTTTTTTGGCCTCCTGGGGCGCAGAGGCTTCCCTCGAGCCTCCGGGAGGGCAAGAAGACCTCAAGCAGGCCAAACATCAGCTGGGAGGCATGCACATGTACGGTGCAGGTAAATTTGGCTGGGGCTCATGTACTCACACAAATGACTCTGTGTGCCACCTATGGCACATGTACCATAGGTTCGCCATCACGGGTCTATGCCATCCTGCAGAAACTCCAGTATATTGGCTATTGAAGCAGTAGTGGGAGGAATCCCGGTTTTGTTACACCACTGTCAGAAAATCTTCCAAGTGGCCTCACATATGCAATTAGTGGCGGGTCTCGTAGCTGCTAGAATCATGTGAATGACCCTCTCTGATACATTCTGTTGTCTCAGAGTGCCCGCTCAATTGCCATGTGGCCAGTTGAAACCACTGAGTTTCTGGGTGTGTTATTATTCCCTAGTGTAACGATATCTTGTGAGGAGGGAACCTCCATGGATTGGTGATGGAGAAATTCACCAGGTCTGCGAACCAGGGACATCTGGGCCAATAAGGCACTTAGAAGTATGACCTCCTCCTCCAGCACCTTTCTGATGGCCACTGGTAAAAGTGGAAGAGGTAGGAAGGCATATAGAACCCCGGCGGCCACCTGATCCTGAGGGCATTGGTCCCTTCTGCCCCCGGGGCCATGAACCTGGTGAAAAATCTGGATAGTCTAGCATTGCTTGGAAAAACAAACAGGTCCACTACTGGTAGTCCAAATCTCTGTGTCAGCTCCTGAAATAGAAGAGGGTGAATACTCCACTCTGAATGGTCAATCCTGGCCCTACTAAGCCAGTCGGCCTGTACATTGTCCACACCAGGTATATGTTCTGCCCTAATTGATAAGGGATTCCTCTCTGCCCACAGACCCAGGCATTCCACCTCCAACATTAAGGACTAGGATCTGGTGCCACCTTGCCTGTTTATATGTGCCTTAGTGGTGACATCTGTCAAAATCAATACATGCAAATTCTGTATAAGGGATTGAAATATTTTGAGAGCCAATCTTGCTGCTCTCAACTCCAAACAATTGATATTTTTGCTTGCCTTAAAGCAGATCACTGGCCCTGTGCCAATTGTGACTGCAGATGAGCATCCCAACCAAAGAGACTGGCATCTGTAGTGATGACAAGGCGAGGGGTCTCTAAATATATGACCTTCATTAATTGCATGGGAAGCCCATCATCTTAAGGATTGATTGTTTGACCTGGGGACCCTGACTTTACATGAGGAATGGCTCTTGCCTGCCTTTTGATAGGGCAAGAGAAACCACTGTAATAATGTAACCTAGCCCATGGCACGATGGAGATACATGACACTGTCTTGCCCAGAAGTTGTGATAGCAAGGCCAAGGGTGTCTTATCTGCCCTTCCAATACTTTGACCAGGCGCTTGAAGACTATCTTTGTGCTCCTGGGATAGGAACACTTTACAATCAATATTAGCTCCCAAATGTAATAAACACCTAGTGGGGGTGAAATGATTCTTCTTGTGATTAATTGAAAAGCCGTGGTCCTGCAATAAGGAAGCCATCAGATGGAGGTCCCTCAAGGCATTGTTCTGCAAGGATGATTGTATTAAAATATTATCCAGAT